TTGGACAAGAAGTTTCAAAAATAATTATTATTTGACTAAAAATTTGAAAATGGTAGATAAATATTACGCCGCTAAAAATTTGAAAATAATTAGTAAATATTACACCGGAAAACTGGAAATCGAAATTAATTGATAAAATAACTTAGTAGATTAAATGATAAATAAATGTAATTAAATATTTATTAGGAGATAGGAATAAATATTAACAAATAAAAATTAATATAAACAATATTATTTTTTGAAAAATATATCCTACATCTGCATTTTTTGGCTTTGGGAAGTGGGAGGGGGGAATTTGTCCCCCAGTCCAACCCCCGGTGCGTAAGCGCCTGGCATATTTTAATGATTGCCATCTTGTTGGAGCAAGTTCGGTCCATTCAATATCTTAAGTCCATAATTTTTTTAAAACAGATATCTTGTTTGTGGATCTGCTGAATTCAGCATAACATTTCATATAAATATGCCCTTTTCTTCCTGCATTGTGAATTGTATGTCACAGGCAACCAATGGGTATAATATTTTCATTCAAAACTAATTATATCATCATTACACTTTGCCTTTTTTTCCAAAATTCACAGTTGCGTTATCGCCACAAACAGCTGTTACATTTGATAATGATAGGTTACAAATTTTCAAAGCTCTACACAAGCATAAAAGCAATATCCTTCGATTTCTCCGAGTCGGATGAAAATATTTTTTAAAAGTTTACTTTGAAACACCTCTTTCTTTAATAAAAATAGTGCTGCATTATTGAAAATGTTTTAGTATTTCCATTATTGGATGTATCAGCTTATAGAAAAATGGATGATTTTCCTTCAAAATCCTCTAAAAATGTGTTTTCTTAGTTTTCAGGAACTAGGATATTTAACACTATTTCTAAGGGCTTTAGTTCTTTTACATTATATGATTTTGGCTATTTTTGAATCAGGAAAGAGAGTACAGGCAACAAGTTTGTAGAGTAATCTGTAGATATAATAACTGAGCGTATATTTTATGGTGTGATATATGAATTGTCTTTTCGCTATGGTATCAACACATAAATTATTGTTTTTGAAGTATAAGTTTATAGATATCATTTTAATGATTCCTTGCCTTCTTACTTCACATTTACATAAGAAACCATTTTCATCATCAGAATCAGAGGATAATTATATGATTTATTATAACAATTTATTTTATTAACTGTAAATGATATTAAATGTTATTATTATATTTTAAATTGGAAAAGTTTTGAAGTTAGATTTTTTTTTCCCCAGAATTCTTTGTTCTTTCCTGTCTCAAAATATGGATAAAAAAAATATACAACAATAAGATGCCTCCCTAAGTGTATGATTGAATTAAAATAAATAAAAAATGAGAGAGGAAATTTCTGGTGGAGCTATATTTAATTATTTTAGAAAGATAGAAAGAAAGAAAGAAAGAAAGAAAGAAAAAATTCTGGAGAAAGCGATAAATAAATAGACAGCGTGTTTTGGACGTAAACTAAAGTGAAAAAATCGGGAAATTATGCCAAAAAATTCTAGTAAAAAAAAAAAATTATTTTTATATAAAGGAAGAAATGAAAATCTAAATTTTTTTTTATATAAAAACCGGATATAATCAATGGGCTACAATGAGTGGACCTAATGACCCATATCAGACCAACTGAGGATTTGTAACTTAATTTTGCGTTATCAGCTAGGCCTATGTAACACGGGGAACTAACTATCCTACACCTTGTTCACAAAATGATGTGGTTTCCGCTAGTGTCACGTTTCGTTGACTATTTGCTCTCGAGCAACGACACAGAGCAGATTACAAACTTCCGTTAGTTTATGGAGAAGACTAATTTTAAGCACTATATGATCATATCTGACAGACCCCAAATTTAGATGTGCAGTCGCACTCATGCTCGGAGTGAAAATCTTAAGAATATGATGTGCTTCACAAGTTGACCAAAAAGCTAAGAGATCCTCTTTCTAATAGATACAAATACATAAGATATGAAAAGTACTATATGAAGTTAATATTCAAACACAACTCAAACCAGCATGATTTTTTCAACAGCAACACTCGACTTATTGATCTTTAGGGAATAAAGGCAAACATGGATATTTGGACTTTACTTGTTGGACTTTGTTTCCGTCTCCCATTACAATTACTAACCACCTTGGAGTTGCGAGAGAAAGAAAGTCCTAAAACATTCGCCGCATATCTACCGATAACGTATTCAACCCCATTAGTTGTATCCCTGTTTATTTTTGAAGAGGCCAAATATCTTTTCCAACAGAGAAGCCCTTCCACATTCTCAAGACCATATTTTAATTTAAACAAAAAAATAGGCGATGATATAATTCTTTTTAATTTCATTTGATTGATTCATGGTCAACTTATGATGATAAAATGCTATTTTTTCAGCATGAGACCTTAAAAGATTTTGGAAAATTAGAACAATTATGCTGGTCGGATCCTACCAGCTGTTAATGAATATTAAGGATTAGTCACTAAAGAAAAAAAACTCATATATTCTATTGGCGACTAAAATATGTAAAATAGATAAAAACTTGGTTTAGATTCACAATTCTTTTTAAAATTTAGTTGGCAGACTAGCGAAGATCAACAAGAACCAGTTCAAACCAACCCAGCAATTTATAAACCAAATAGAATCTAGTTTACTATCTGCCAACATCTGCCCGGGCCTAAAAGACAAAACCGAAATGACCTGTGAGTAACTAGATTCTATTTGATTTTCCCTAAATTTGATTTGAATGCAGCTGGCCACCTTGTCTTAAAATAAGTAATCCTGATTATTGAGTTGTCCGAATCGGCTCAACTGATCTCCGCTCAGAAATATTATTACTATTAACCCTCCGGAGCACTCACTCTTTTAGCGCTGCATCTAAAAATATTTTCAAATTTTTTAAAAAAAGTGATATAAATATTATTACTTTTAACATTACGAGCGTTTTTAAACGCATAGTTAAAAGATGTGAACCAGAAACCAGGTCTAATATGTTAGATCGTGCTGAAAAATCTGATGGTATATATGCTAGATATTTTTTAGATAATAATAATATCTTTTTAAAACTAATTTTAAATAAATTAAATAATTCAAATGATAAATGTTGTTATTGATATTATATATAATATTTATATATAATCATTTGATTATATATTGTTATATGATGATGAAAGATAAAAGTAGAGTATTAAAAATAAAGAGTAAACATATAATTATCAATTTCAATGTTTTTTTTATTTAATAAAATAGATTAAATTTTAATTTAATTTAATATATTTTTTTAAAAATCAATAAAATATTATCAATATCTTATTTCCCCCTATTCAATAAATTTATATATAAAACACTTGACATTTTGTTTAATTTTTTTTAATTTTTTTTAAAATTAGTTTTTTAAAATTTTATTTATTATTATTTATTAAGGGTTCGAATTACAAAATTTCAGAAAATTTTTAAAATTTCAAAGGAATTTTGGAAAAATAAAAAGGGGGAAAGAATTAGGAATTTATGGGAATAAGAAATTTAAAATATTAAATTATCTTTATAGAAAATTTGACATTTTTAGACATTTATTTTTGGAATGGGAGGAAAAAAGATTTGTGATATAGGTCTAGTTTAATGTGTAAAGAATTGGGAGGACTTAAGGGGAGGGGGGAACCAAGTAAAAGATATTGGGAAAAGGTTAGATGGATGGTAAAATATTCTGTGTTTTAGAGGGGTTTCGAATATATTTGGAAGAATTTGGATGCCAAAATCCGGCCCGCAAACAGGAATAATAAAGTTCTATTCAAATCGAATAGACTTTTACAAATTAAACCCGTAAATAAATCGGTTGGCTCAACCCGGTTCAAACCTCGATTAACAACGCTCTCACATTCTCACTCTTTTTAAAAATTTAACAAAAAAATTAAATTATATTTTATTTTTATTTGATCAACTTGTTTAATATTTAAATAAAAAAAAATTTATAGATATATTATACTTATATAGTATATCGATAATAATAGTAAATTTTTTTTATTAAAGAGAAAAAAAATATATCAATTATCTATATTATTTACCTAGATAATTGTTAAGGGTTTGTTACAATATCTTTACTTATTTTTCAAAAAAATACAAATTAATAATAACTAACACCCCTTATGGTCTTGTTTTGGGATCGGAATTCCTTGGGGAATAAAGGAATTTCTTAAATTTTTTAAATAATTTCCACTTAAAAATATGGAAAAATTATGAATCGGTCATAAAATTATTCTGAAATTTTATGGGATGGGCCTTCAATACATAATTGGAATGCATTTCCGGCGAAATCCGATCCCTAAATTTTAAAACGAGTTTTCAATTATGGATTTAAAATGCAAAAAAATAACTGCACAGAAAACCCTATTAAACTATCCCTTTACCTTTTCTCTAATTCCATTTTTTTTGGTGGTACTTTAAAATAAAATCAAAATAATTTACCCTAATACGCCCGTGGGTGTCGTGGGCTTTAACTGATACGCCTTTGACTTAAAACAGTGTTAAACGGCTAACCCAATATCTAAAAAGCCAAAAAATAAAATTCACCTCCAGGAAATTTTGCTCAGAGATTGGCTGAATTTGGACTTAAAACGATATTTCGAGGCTTTGCATAATATATAAAATTTGGCTAAATCGAACCGTTAATTTAACAACACTGACTAAGTAAATAATTAATATTTATCATTTAAAAATTAAATCTTTCTAGTTTTTTTTTTTATTTTAAAATCAATATATTATATTAACAAATATAATATAAAAATAAACATATTTCTATTTTTAACATGTCACAAAAATATTTTTGATTTTTCGTCTTTTTAATTTTCTTCGTTTTATTTTTATTTTTATTAATTTAAATTTATTTAATTAAATAAAAATATTAATTTTTTTAAATAATTTTATAAATTCATGGGAAGTTAATTAACTTCCTCGAAAAAAGGTATAAATTTAACCCTTTTTTAAATTGATAATTTAGAAAAAATAAAATTTATAAAAAAAAAAAAATTAATTTTGAAAAATCAAAAATTTGGAAATGCCAAATTAAATATCGCAAAAGAGATTAAGAATGTATTCAACGGGAGCGTATAAGGAGTTCCGCCGTTCAACAGGCCTTATTACGAGCTAAATTTGACCAATTATATCGCGTTAAAAAATTAGCGGTTATTTTATACAACCCTTACGATTAAAATCGATAAACATTCGTTCCTACTCTCCGCGCCAAAATAAATGGCAAGCCTGGCCAGATCACCTATTTTTTTCGTGCCCTCTTTGGTGAGCGGTCAAAACAATTTTATTTTATATTATCGATCTCCAGCATCCATCCTATCATCATCCGCCATATCTTCTTCCTCTTCCATATCCGGGGAGAGCCCGCCATCTTCCGTATTCTTTCTCCCTACGGAAACGAACTCTGACGGTAACAAATCCTCCAGCACGGTCTACGACAATAACTTTATTTATAACAATAACACTTACGTAGGACCCAACTATTCCACTAGTTTCATCTTGGCGCTCACCTTCATATATTCCATCATATTTGTCGGTGGCATTATAGGAAACATATCAACCTGTATAGTTATATGTCATAACCGGTACATGCATACCCCCACCAATTTTTATCTAGTGAGTCTTGCCATATCTGACATTCTAGTGTTGGTATTCGGACTTCCGGTGGAAATATGGGCCCTCTATCGCAATGATTTTTTTTACACATCCGGGGACACCTTCTGCATTTTCAAATCCCTAGTTAGCGAGTCGTCTTATAATGCGTCGGTACTGACTATAACTGCTTTTACTATAGAAAGGTTTGTATTTTTTTTCAAAACTTTTACATTTTTCGTTATAATACTATATATATGTGTGGTTTGGGGATTTGAAATCCGTGGGGATTCGGAATCTCTTGATTTTAAATCCCAAGGGCGATTTAAAAAAATTTAAAAAAATGATTTATACAGAAATGTATTCTAGCATGTATAGAGTATTTACTGTTGTAATTGTGGTAACATGCAAATTTACTAGATTAAGAAAAACGCCAGACAGGCAGATTACTTTTAAACAAAATTACGAAGCCCAAAGATATTCAAATCTACAAGAATTAAATCTCGGTACAAATTGAGACTATGCAAATGTTGATTGAGATAAAGGATATATAAGGAAAAATTATGATCCGAAAAATGATGATTAAATTATGATTTTACGAACTTAATTTTTTTAATCTTTAATTTTAATTTTTTTATATTATTTTAATTTTTTAATTTATATTAATTTATTTTAGATTATGTTTTTATCTTATTATTTAATAAAGATTTAGTATCATTTTAGTTCTAACTTTTCTTATTTGACGAATATTATAGAAAAGTATATATAATCGAGGATATTAGTCTGATTTAGTATCATTTTAGTTCTAACCTTTCTTTATTTGACAACGGTTCTAATCACCCAATCCTTCTCAAATCTTAAAAATGTTACATTCATATAAATTTTAGCCAATTTCAGTCATAGATATTTAAGTATTTTTTAATTTATATGAAAAATTCATATAAAAACTAATATAAATTAGAAGTATTTCTAAAGTTCTGGGCAAAATTGGTTGAGATTTATAATGGTAAATACTCTACACATGCTAGAATACATTTCCGGTTGACAAAATTTTTTTAAATCGCCCTCGATAAAGATTTAAAATCCAGAGATTCTGAATCCCTACACGACATATATATATAAATACATACTATATCAGATTTCTAAGACATAATATAACTTATTTTCGCGCAATCCAATATAAGATATATGTGTAATGTTAGATTTTGGTTTGGAGGTCCAAAGTTTTCTGAATAAGAATATAAAAAGATATTGACATTAATTCTTAAGAGAGAATATTGTTTCCTATTAACTTTTCTAATAGTAATAATTTATTTATTTTTATATTAAATTGCATGCCAAATAATTAATCTTAAGGTTTGTCGAGTTAAGACTAATTGCATAACCGACTGGCCAAACTTCCTAGTCGACTCATGAGTTCGAACTCTCATGAATCAATAGTTACAAAAATGATAAAAATTACTTTGATAATTCTTATGATGTTTTTCTGTTTTTAGTACCAAAATATGATAGGAAAATTAATATGAAAGTTATAAAAAAAAGGTAAATGAAACTAATTTAAACCAAATTATAAGAATTATGATTGCAATTATATATTAGTAATTAGATGCATTTTTATTTCTTCAAAATTTTTGCCTAGAATTTTTTGAATTTAGTTTATCCTGCTTTATAAATCGGTATGAATTTATCACAAATAACTATTTGTCTACTCTTGCTAGCCGCCCCCCTCCCCTCGATGTATTTTAACTTAGTTTTATAAAATCATTTCTATATTTAAATTAAATATCCGACCACCTTGTCGAGTTCGGTTATCCCGGATAGTAAGGCCAAGTCGATTCAGGTCGAAGTAGATTTTTAGAGTATAACCTCCAATCGAGGTTGTGGATAAAGCCATTCTGTTTGGTTCAGCGACAGTATATCCGGTTTCTTCGTAAGGTAAGTAAGTGAGTAAAATTTTTCAACTTTTCCGTCCCATTTTAGATGTTGAAATATTGGTATATTTATTTTTGCAGTTTTTTTTTCCTCTCTTGTGAAATCAACATTTTTAGATGAAGTTAGGGTAGGGTTTAAAAATAGTATCAAGATATTTATTTTAAATATAATTTAGTCATTGCTGGTTAGGGATTGGTTAAAACTAATAGTGATTTGATTGGGCATAATTTATTCAAGCCCAGTCCGACACGTCCCTAAAAGCCCTACCCAAAATAATAATTATTTGTCCGCTCGACTCGACCAGGTCCGATTTTATTTTAATATAGAAAAATTAAATTTCTTTTATTTTTTTATTGTAAAAAAAATATATTTATGTCTTGTTTCTTGCAATTTTTAAGGTATATCAATTTATTTGACAAAATGTAATGATATCATATTAAGAAAGAAAGAAAGAAAGAAAGAAAGTAAGAAAGAAAGAAAGAAAGAAAGAAAGAAAGAAAGAAAGAAAGAAAGAAAGAAAGAAAGAAAGAAAGAAAGAAAGAAAGAAAGAAAGAAAGAAAGAAAGAAAGAAAGAAAGAAAGAAAGAAAGAAAGAAAGAAAGAAAGAAAGAAAGAAAGAAAGAAAGAAAGAAAGAAAGAAAGAAAGAAAGAAAGAAAGAAAGAAAGAAAGAAAGAAAGAAAGAAAGAAAGAAAGAAAGAAAGAAAGAAAAAGAAAGAAACGACCCGGCAAGAAATTATTTTTTTAAACAGTTTCGAGCCGGGCCGGGCTCGGACTGGGCCCTGATTTGCATATCTCTAATCTATACTTATGAATATTATTACCCAATAGATTTGGTATACTTCAATCATAAACTCCGTAACTCTCTTTCCTCCTCTCACCCATCCGAAATATATTTTCTTTTTATTTTCAAAGCTCCAAAAATTAATTTTCGTGAAAAGAAATAAATGCTCTTCTGAAAAAAAAAACAATTAATATTCTATTAAATGAATCTTAATAATATTAATAATTTATTATTGGATTAATTTTTATATAAGATTAATTTAAATTTAAATTAGAAAAATAAAATAAAATAAAATAAAGAAATTATGTGATATTAAATAAAATATTACTATATATATTTATATACCCTGAATATAAATGCGTAATTATATAATAAATTTTTTTTTAAAATTTATAACAAGGCCATTTACAAATAAAATCACATTTATATATTAATTTAAGAAATAACACAAATGATGCTTCGCTGAGTACTTAAATAACACGTGTTTTGCAATTTAAAAAATTAAATAATATCTCGATCTTAATAATGACACTTCATCTTACTCAATCAACCGAGAAATTATATCTGGATGAATCCCTCTTGAGAGACACAAACTATGTTCATTTTGTCATATAACCTTTATTTCTACTAAACTTCTTTTTCTGTTTATCTCTTCGAAAATGATAAAAGGTTCTCCATAATATCTAACTCAATAATTGTTTTTTATCTTTTCTTTTTTTTTTACTGATCCAATTTATCGAAGAACCTTTTAAGCAAAAATTCCCAGTTTTTTTGTGCTAAATTCAATATTTTCCATATGTATTTTTCTTTGATGACCTTAATGTCAAAAATCTCTAACACCATAATATTTTTTTTATACAAGCGGCGAATATGATTTTAATTAATATTTATTTATTTTTTTTGTGCTAGCTATATTTTATTTTATTTTATTATTAGAAGTTCATTGACGATACTTATTATGAAAGCTTATTTTTTTTTAATGGAAAATGTCTTAAATAATTAACATTTAGAAAATTTTTGTTCGTTATGTTTTTTTAGATACCAAAATTTCTATTACAAAAAATGTATATAAATTTTAAAAAAAAACAATAAGACTATGAAATAATAATAATAAATATGGTAAAAATAATATATTTAATTTCTATATAATTGGTATCCGATGCTGGATACAACTTTCTCTTTCAGCCTATATTTCGTCAGGTCTTCCGCTGAAATTATCATCAATAATGTATCTATAATATTATGGCAAAGGTTATCAGTTAAGATATCTAAATGAATTATTTCTTTATTAATGTAATATATAACAACTATTATACAAAATTATAACTTTAATTTAATTTTATATTTATTACTAAACGTGAAAATAATTTAAAGTCTTTGATCTTTCTCTTTTTAAATATTTACAGTATAACAATTTATACTAAATCAAATAAAAGATTGTGTACTAAAAAAAAACCTTCAATTACAAATAACGACATAATCAATTTATATTTTACAAGTAATGACAATTACGACAGTATCCACTAGATCCTGATCTTAAAGCCCTTACTTTTTGGGACAGCAACAACTTACCCATTCCTGCCGTCGACATTCAAAAAGACTAGGATACTCCTTTGATCGCCCGTTCCTGAATGCTTCATTTCGAACAGGCACTTCGAGGAACCCAAATAACTTAAGATATTAATGTAAACTCTTATGAATGATTGGAAGGCCATCTCCAGTTCTCATTTCGGTCTCCTAAGGGTTGCTGAACAGCTACGCATGTTAACCTTTAATGCAGTTATACCCTTCATTTGCATCGATTGTGGCCAGTCCATCTAATCGAATGCTTCCCTTGATGAGTTCTCCTGCGTATGGCAACACCGCCATAAATCCATTAACAACATTCTCCTAACTGCCCTCAAAAAATTTGATATCCCATCCAGTCTTGAGCCAATGGGCCTTTCAAATAGTAACGCCCTCCTCCCTGATGGTATACCCTTATCCCCTGGACGAACGGTCTCCCTCTGACCCGGGACTACACTTGTATCGATTGCAGGAAATACTAATGTCTCATTTTCTGTATCGAAATGGACCTTTAAAAATAAATAATTTATTATATAAAAAATAAATAAAATATTATATCATTTTTAATTAATATTAATTTATTTTTATATTTTTGCGAACTGTATTTCATTTGTTATTAAAAACTCATTTATATTAATTAAGTAAATTTTGTTATTTTGACAATATTTATTATAGTCTATTTTTTTTTTGTGGAAATGTCTTAATAAATTAATTTACCATTTAGAAATTTTTGTTTTTTTAATGTTTTTTTTAGACATCAAAATTTTCTTTACGAAATGTATGTATTAAGTATATCCAAAAAAAATATATTAATTTAATTAAAATCAAAAATTTTTTTAAGGAAAACTATATAATTATATCTAATCTCGTCCAATTTAATTTCCTTTTTTTTCTTTTTGTAAATTTCTTTCTTTATGTTATTAATTA